TTTTCGTTAAAAATAATATTTTATATATATATTTATCATTTAATAATGGACATGTGTATTTTCTCCAAATGAATATATTTTCTTAAAAAAAAACTTGCTTTTTTAATTTCAAAAATATTACATGTTTTAAAAAAATTATCTCACATGTTATTTTACCCCTCTAGACTTATTTAGACCCTAACCAACTAAAGAAAAACTCTTTTTTTTTGTTTCAAATTCGATTAGAACTTATTTTATGACTTCAATAAAAGAGGAAATGGATGTTTTTTATTTTTGTTGGATAATGTTAGAAATCAAATTTTATTATTGATGTGTTCAACTTGTGTATGGCTTATTTATCGATTTAGCACCAGAGAAAGACCAATAATTCATTTGAATATGGAATACATTGTTGTTATGAAATAATACATGTGTAATAATGTAAGAAACCTAATTGGTCTACCCTACCTATGTATAGATACCCGAGGTAATACTTCAGATAGATAGTTACTCAGCTATGCACTCTTCCCTCAGAAAGTCACTCAACTTTCAATTTTCACTCAAAAGTCACTCAACTTTGAATTTTAACTCAAAAGTCACTCAACTATCCACTCTTTCCTCAAAAAGTCACTCAATCTATTAAATTATTTTTTAATTAAAAATTGTTGATATTAATTATTTTTATAACAAACCAAAAAAATTTTAAAATATATTAAACTATTTAGTGATTCATCCACCTAACCCGACCCATTAAAAAATATGATATGACCCATTTTATTTTGTCTTTAATCCTAAATTAATCTCTCTCTTTAAACCTTGAATTAGGATTAAAGACAAAATAAAATGGGTCATATCATATTTTTTAATGAGTCGGGTTAGGTGGGTGGATCACTAAATGGTTTAAATGGTATTTTTAGTTTTAAAAAATTTTGGTTTGTTATATAAATAATTAATATCAATAAATTTTAGTTAAAAAAATAATTTAATAGATTGAGTGACTTTTTGAGGAAAGAGTGAATAGTTGAGTGACTTTTGAATTAAAATTCAAGTTGAGTAACTTTCTGAGAAAAAAGTGCATAGTTGAGTGACTTTGAGTGAAAATTGAAAGTTGAGTGACTTTTTGAAAGAATGGTGCATAGTTGAGTGACCATCTGAGGTATTAACTCATAGATACCCTCTCACATATGTACTTACTGTGATTACTCCATTAAAGACCTGAAGGTTTGTGTAAAATTCAACAATATCATCTATAGGTTCTACTAAAAAATAGTTCAGAAATGAATTTGACCATTTTTTAAATTTATTTTGTCAATTAAATCAGTCGTGTTTGGGATATCAACCACTGAGTGATCAACACGTGTTTCTTATTAGGCCCCAAAGTATCTAAGTTTATCTATATCAAGAAATTTAGCAATATTTTATTTATCTTAACATATGATGGTTACTTTTCAAATTGTGTCAAGGGTTTATTTTGCCTAGGAAAAATGTTCTTGTGTGTTTCATGACACTGATTTTGTAGATTAAAAAATCACGTGTAATGATTTTGAAGGTTATTTTTGAAATTTTCTATAATTTTACTCCTTTCGATTTAGTTGCCCAAAATCTTTTTCGATTAGTTTGTGAAATTGGATTAAAAAAGTGGTGATTTTGGAATTTGAGCTTTTGAATAAGTTAAAGTCTTAAGAATGATTTTTGGTTACAATTTGAATTTTGAATTTCGAAATGCAATTTCGTCAGTTTCATCTGCTTAAAAATGCAAAATTTGGTGTGATAGTATTGTCAATTGATGATTTGAAGGTATTGCATGGATTTAAGGTCACAAGTTGAATGTTTAAGTGATTTTTAGTCTTTGGATTGACTTTGATCGACATCCGAAGGTCAAACGCTTTGTTGGATGTTCGATGGTTTCACTTTGATTTGGATATGACTTTAGGCCTAATTGAGGTCTTGGTTGATGTATTTTGAGCCTTAAGTTAGTTTAGTGGGATTTTTACGAATTTAAGATTGAGAAAATTCTGAATTTATGTTTTGACGGTTCCATTAAGTCCAATGCACTAAATTTAGTTGGGTAATATATTTGGTTAGTACATGCGAAGATTTTAATATTTGCTAATTTTGTTGGTTGCTTGTGTTTGATGAATTGTGCATTCGCGGAAGGTTAGGATGTTATACCTCCGTGTTTGCGAAGAGTTAAGAGGCGAGAGTCTGTGTTCGCCAAGGATCCCTAGCAGTGTCTTTTTTTTCGAAATCGGTATTTTTTTTCGTTTTTCTTCAATTTTGAACTCTAAAAGCTCAATAAATGTGATTTTGAAAGACTTTTTCAAGAAACTTCAATGAGTAACGGATTTTAACTAATCTTTATTTTTCATTAATTATTACAAAATTTTGTCATCTAAATTGTTATTTTTGAATCAAAATTTAAGGTAATTTTCAAGAACTTGAGTTTTAAGTAGTAATGGTGATTTGAGTTCGATTCAACTTCATTTTTAAAATGATTTTCACCAGTGAGACAAAAATTCTTTGAATAACGCATTTTTGTACAAATTTTCAGATATACCCTTTATTGTCATAATTAGATTTTAAGTCAATTTTGCTTCGTTTTCTAAATTATTTGAAATAGCTATTATTGATACCAAATTCTTATTGTGATTACTTATTTGATTGGCTTGTTTTGATTTGGAGGTCCAACGAAGAGGGAAAACTCAAGTTTCGAAGTGATTATTTGATTAATTAAGTCAAGTAGATTTCTTAACCAGTAGTTAAGCATTATTAAATCGTGAATGTCTTTATTTGACGGGGAGTAATAAAAATAGGTGAAGGATTTTAGACACTTTCGTGTATATTTAAATGCTGAGAATGAATTAGTAATGATTATGGGGTTAAATGAGACTGGGCAAAAAACTTCTTTTTTAAATGGGCTGGAAAAATTAAGTCAAATCTCACTTGATCTAGGGATTTTTTGGGACGGCCCGGGACAAGTATATTTTGGCATCTCTAAGCATGACATAATACAATATAATACGATACATTATGAAATAATATGTAACAACCATCCAAACAAAGGGTAAGTTATCTGCATTATTTGGCATCTCTGCTTTTTTTTCTGCATTTATCTTGTTTGTTTGGGTTTTAGATTTGATTTTTTCTAGTGAGATAAGATGAGTGCCATCACGAACCATTTTGAATCCTAACATTAGGTCGTCCTTTAAATTTTCGATCACATTTCCTAGTGCAATCATATATCATTCATGGACTTGTATTTGTTTTTACTTTCCTTACGTTGTTTACTTACGTTTACACATTGCGTGTGAAGTTCGGATAGGCTTAACCTCTTTGGTATTATGTTTATAAGGATAAGTATTTCGACTTACATAAAATAAGAGAAAAAAAAGTCATCAATTTCATTTGTGACTACATCATATGTCGCTTCAGAGTAAAAAAAAGATATATTATCGTAATGAACCTCAATAAATTGAAGAGAAGATGATAGAATGCTTTGAGGGGCTAAAATCAAAGGAGTTACATCCAACCGATACAGTTAGTGTGAAAGTCAATTTTTACATTTTAATTGAATACATTTTGATTTTTTGTCCATTATTTAGGCATCAAACTCTATGATTGTTTAACATCTATAAGTAATGCTACATATATTTAACGCCAAAGTCAATTTAAAGCCAATGTCATCTGTGTCCTCTTAAAGTTGTCCTCATTATTCATTTAGACCTCTCAACTAGACCTTGTAGCTATTGAACACCTCTACTATCCTATATTTGAATCGTCTAAGCATTTTTTTCTACATGAAAAATCATTTGTGAGTCATGCAAACACGGTGGGTGAATTGTTTTTCTCCCATTTCTACCCTGCATTTAAGACCTCCAACGTTAAAATTTTAACGTTGACATTGTAACATTAAAATCCCCAATTCTTCTTTCCCCGAATCTATTTTAGAATCCTAAATCCCCAATTCTCTCATTTTTCTCTAAATCTTCAACATTTCTCTCTTCTATATAAATTGTCTTTTATCAAATATCGCAAAGTTCAGTGAATATCAAAGAAGTCGATATATGTAAGTGTGGTGACTATTGTCGACTGAAAACTTTGAGGATTCTACTAAACTCATGTCATCGATTTTTTAGATGCAAAGTATCAAAGGTTTGTATAATTATTCGAACAAAAATTATTGTTATTGTATTATTTGAAAAATTAATATTTTTGTATATTTATTATTGTTATGTTGTTTGTAGAAAAACGATGAGTGTGGCTATTTTAGTTGAATTGATCTGTCTCTTGAAAATGTTGATGAATCAACCTTAATGAATAGATTCATAGATGGTTAAAAATTGATTTTTCGACTAAAGAAAAAAGTGAAAGAACTCGAAGAAAAAAGGGATTCTTTGAAATTTCAATTGAATGGAGATGAAGAGAAGATGATGGTATTGAACAAGAAGCTCGGAAGTTAAACTCCAAAGAGATTAGGAAATGTCAAATTTAACCAAGTTGTGATTGTTTTTCTGTGTTTGCTAACTATATAATGGTTCTTTAATATTGTGTAGTTAATAGTAGTTCAAGATTGAAGTACTCAATTGTTTAGTTTTACAGTAGTTAGGAGGTTTTCTAGATCAATTAGTGTTGTACTTTATTCGTCTGTTAAGTTCATATTTTGTATCAATTGAAAGTTTGAATGTGAATTGGTCAGTGTCACTTTTGTAACTATCGGTGTGAATTGAATTGTGTCTCTTTTGTAACTTTCGGTGTGAATTGAATTGTGTCTCTTTTGTAACTTCCATTCTGAATTGATTAGTGTCTCTTTTGTAATTTGTCTCTGTTTTCTAATTTGCCCTGTGTTCTGAAATTAGTTCTGGGATCGACTAGTTTTATTGACAAAAATATAACTACATTGAGAGGTAGTCTAGTTGTTGTTCAAAAATTCAGCTAATAACACAAATGCATGACTAAAAAGTAATTAACATAAAGTCATGATTGAAAAATACATAACGCAAATGAATTGAGAGGTACTTAGTTGTTATTCAAAACCATTGTCTTGCATGGTTCAAAAATACAATACATGAGTTTTCAAAATAGACGAAAGAGTAGCTTGTTGAAGACCTGTTTAACATGGGTCAAAGTCATAACAATTTTCCAAATGAATACTCCAAGTTTTTTTTGTGTTTGTTTTCATTTCTTGCAACTGTGAGATATTGATTGCATCTTTATCTTTCTTTTTCACGCCACGGGGTTTAAAGTCATTGTCTATATTGATTGATGAAACACTCTTCAATTTTGTTGGCCCATGAAATTCATCTCACTTGATGTATCAGGTTGTAATATAAGAAAAAAAAAGTGTAACATAAAGTAAAATCATAATATGGTTATCAGATTATACATCAAAACAAAGTAAACACATTAAGTGAACATACATTACAGACTTGAGCTCCAGTTGTAGGATCAGAGTAAACATCAAACTAGTTGCTGGCCTTTTGTTTCCTCCAGTAGCAACAACAAATGAGGCAGAACTGTATGGTTTCCTGTGACCTGATAAAGGTGGTAGTTGATTAGAAAAACTATTTTTTTTCAGTAATAAATGGGATCCCTCTTGCATTAGTTTTCTTCTCAATCCTCTTTCAGTTCCAACTTAAATCCTATTTTGAGGAGATCTTGGCATAAATATTGTGTCCGCACAAATATAACTTGATTGTGTCGCCGCATCTGTGATTCTGAAAGTAAAATGTGATAGGCCTCCCATTGTAGACTATGTAGCATAAATATGGATATATGAATAATTTGTAGAACAAATGAGTTATTAAATCTTATTGTTGTTTGAGTAGTTCTTAACACAACTGTAATATCAGCACAAACGAAACTTTGTTGACTTGATTATGTTTTAACATGTTGAACAAAAATAAGGAGATATGAATAACTTATAGAATAAAAATTAATGCAAATGAATATGCAAAATCAAATCTTACTCCTTACTCCTATTTAAGAATAACTTTGTTGGCTTGAATTTCTCTGGCTTTCAGGTTGAGAAGTGTTCCCCCTTCCATACTATGTCACCACAAAATAAAATATATGATTATAATATATATATAAACTTTAAGCAATTTACAAATGTGAATATGAATTATTACTTACTTTTGCGCACACATCTTTGTTATGATCAGTTTTCTTGCATATGGAATATACCATATTTTCTCCTTTTCTTGAAAGTTTTTTATATTTTTTAGCTCATTCCTTACTCTTTCCTCTCTTCTTGTCAGGTTTGTCTAACATTTCCCTTGATTTTGGAGGTTCTATTGTTGAACTAGTTTCAAAATGAAAAAGTGGTCCTCAATAATATACTTGAGTGTAGGCACACAATTTCCAACATAAGTAGAAACAGATGTCTCGTATAAGATTTCACCATGGTGAATTTTTAAATATAATCTCCTCAATGATAAATTGTTATGTAGCCCTATAAAATATCAAACAAATCCTAACTTAGGATAATGGAATAAACTCATATAACCCATAGACCAACTAAAAAACAAATTTTTAAAGGACATTTTCTGGGTAATAGCAAAAAAAGGATAAAATATTCCCAAAAATCACAAACTCTCTAATTTAATAAAATCTGGCTTTTTGTCATTCATTTAATAAAACATGTAAAAAAAAACATCGACAATCGTAACTTACACAATGAAATCTTCAAGATCGTAACACGAACATGACGAATCCAACTTCAATCTGGAGGAAATCGCAAATAGGGAGAGCTTCAACTTGGAATAAATTGTGAAGAGATAGAAGTTCGATCAAAGTTATCGATTTAGAAATTTTTTTCAATTAAGACATTTATAATTACATGTTGGATACACGTTGTAGTTGTTAAATGGTCATTCTATACACGTAGGATACACAAAAGAGTTTAAATACACGGGCCACACAGTTTATGAAAAGTGAAAAAAAAAGAGATATTTTTTGAAACAATAATATTTTAGCTTTCATTATTTATTAAAAATGCCATTATTTTAGTTTGTTAAGGGATTAGTTATGTATTTATTTTATTTTGATTAATTTGAAAAAATACAAATAATTAATAATAGATTAGAGAAAATCATGGAATAAAAAAATTCAAAAAAGATAAAAATGATTTTAAATACAAATTAGTTACTTTTCAAAAGAGCATAAAACAGTCATCTTTATGTCTGAGTGTTTTTTGCTTTATTCTTAAAAACATCAAAAAAATTAAATTAATTTAGTTTGTCTTCTGAATCATTCATCTGATAACTTTCAAAGTTTCTTTAAGTTGAATTCGATATTTATTTTAAATTAATTTTTTCAAAATTGACGACTATAAATTTGTCGAATCTAGTGAATAATTGAAAAACAATCATCTATTTTTTATTTTTTTTTTATTTTCTTGGATGAGATATTCATATATGTCGAGTATAAGAGTGTTATTTTTTTCCTGAGTGAACCACTGAAATCTTTGTATGTATTGGGATTTATTGTTCTTTTTTTGGATATTTTGTATCCAAGTTGTGATGTATAACAAATGAAAATGTTTTTTTTTTAGTTTATTAGATGTTTTTTTTGTTTGAATGTATACAATAATTTGTCTCCCATTAAATTAATGTAACTAATACCATGAACTATGTTGAATACAATAATATATGAATACAAAAGTGCCATGAAAATACAAAATGAGATTGAATATAAAGTTGTGAGTACAAAAGAAATACTTTCTTCATTTGAAATATAAAGTGATTTTGAAAGGAAAAATACAAATTAATCGATCATGAACTATACATTTAACACAACGATATATGAATTAAAAAATGAGATAAAAATACAAAGTGATAGTGAATATGAAGTTGTGAATACAAAAGAAATACTCTTTTTATCTGAAATACAAAGTAACTTTAAAAGGTAAAGTAGACACATAAAATACAAAACTTGTTGGTATACAATTAGGTTGAATACAAAACAAAAGAGAAACTAAGGCTGGCAATTGGTCAGCATTTTGCCCGGTTCGATATCCATACCGGTAAGTCCAGTACCGATTGAACCGGTCTTATAGGTGTACCGAAACAGGTACCGAAATAAAATCTAGGTTTTTATCCGATTGATCCAGTTCGGTAAGAAATGGTTCTGATCTGGTCGATCTAATTCAATGGTTATTTTAATTATATTTTTTTAAAGTGACTGTTTTTATATAGTCGTAGGGCTGGGGCCTAAAAACTTAAAATAGCCCTCGTCCCTCTCTAACAGTCATGCCTCAAGCCTACACCCTGGACGTGACTGACACCTAATGACCATTGCTAGTCTTAAGCGAACCCTTGGTCTGGCTTACTTAACTCAGTAAAAAACTTAACTCGAATAAAACAGTCTCATGATATATCTTAAAGAAATAAAATATTGCCCAAATTAGCACTTAAGTCTCATAACAACGAAATCTGAAATACAGAAATAAGAGACTCAAACTGACTATCTCTGACTGCCTATCTATCTGTATATGAAACCTCTATAATACTAAGATGAATGTTCGGACAGACCCCATAACATTCTAATAAAGAAAAGATTGAAAACATATAAAAGGATCCTCTGGAATGCAAAAAGACTCACCATTGACTCTGAGCGCTCAAACTGGATCAACGTGCTAGATGCTGATCTTGGTTACCTGCGTCTACATCATAAAATGATGTAGGTCAACTGGCATCGGTATATTGAATGTACGAGTATTCGAGTTGGAATGCTAAACAATAACTTAAAGCTTGAAAGGAATGAGAAGAAACTTACATTGCTCTACTCAGCTCATGAAAACTGAACTAAATATATATAGCACAAATAAAATACATGCAATATATATATACATACATACATACATACATATATATATATATATATATATATAAAATAGTCAAACAACTTATTTCGTTAAGGAAAAGCAATAAGAAACTCAACTTTACTTATATATGAAAATAATATAGTTTCTGTGAGAGATTATCTAACCAACAACCACCACTATGAGCCTAAGTAGTGATACAACGTCTTGCCCACGCTGTTAGAACTCTCATATACTTTGTCATCACATAGGATTCCTTAACCTAATGGATCCACTAGCTAACTTACGTGATCATCTAAAAGTATGACCCGTTAATACCCATGATGGCTACATGATTTACATGGAGACTTGAGTTAATATGAACTCTCATCTCCACATCGGTGCTCAAAACTACTCCCAAAATATGTTTCAACTCATATTCTTAAAATAACTTTCTTTCTTTGGGTTGAGATAATTTGCTCAACACTTAAGCTTAAAAAAGCCCTCTTAGAATCAATGTACCATTTTCTTGTTTAAAATTCTTTTGAAAAATCTCAGTTCCCTCTTAATTTAAATTTTAAAACATTTATAAATTTTAGGAAACACTTAGTTCTCTTATAACTGTTGATAAATTAACTTAACTCTTTACTCTTTGCTTAATTTGAACTTGAATCTTAAATCAACTCTTAGGGAATACATAGTTCCCTTACATTTCATTTGAAGAAAAGACTTCAACTTTTAACTCGTCACTTTTAACTGAAACTTGAGCCTTAAACGAAGTTAAAATGTTTAATAAAGGTCCTTGAAAACCTTTTAGAACTTTGCTTTGGACTAGCTTTTTAACTTTAAACTTGACTCTTAACTTTTTTGACTTTGATATTAATTTTCTTGAATGGATTATGGATTCAAGGTTATGATTTGAGTTATTTAGTGATTTCTAGGTGTTTAAAACTCATTTGAAGTAATTAGTATCATCGAAAGGTGTTAATGTACCTTAGAAGGACTTACTACGACTAAATTACGAAAATTGAGCGAAAAACACTGATCCGCGCGCACTGGTGGTGCACCGTGCCAGGCCTCAGTTTACTGGGGCCAATTTTTGACGCACTGCAGACGCGCCACGCCTGCCTTACCCAGGTGCGTCTGACGAGTTTTTCAACTTGTTTTTCGTCTCCAATCCCTCCAAACCTTCCTAATTCTTTCACCAAAAACATGAATCTATTGATACTCTCCATAACTATCGAATTATCTCAAAAATAACCCAGAGAAAGAAAAATTCAACCAACAATTCAATCCGCAAGAATTCAAAACTTTTCTTTAAGAACTTATTTTCTAACATGAAATCAACTCATCAATTGTTGAATTGAAACAAGTTGGTGTGTGGGTGAACTAACTCAACATAAAAGATCTCACATACCCTAATAGAGATCACCCACAATGAATTCCACTCGATGATCTTGGCGTTCTTGATGAATCGTTGAACTTTTCTCCCTTTTTCTTCTTCTCTTCTCTTTTATCCCATGCCCTAAGCATGAATACTTTTCTAAAATTGACATAAGGCTTAGTTTACCCCTAATAAAACTTTAAAACGAATTAGGGGAATAGTTGGGTGAAATGACCAGTTTAACCTTACAAAAATTCGGATTGGAACCTTCCACAATCTAACAGCCCAACTTCCGATAGGCATATCTCCCTCATACGAAATCGAAAGTGCGCAAACTCGATGGCTTTGGGAATTCCAACCATATAAAGAACTAACTCTAACTCATCCTGAGCTAGAAGTTATGATCGTTCGAAAATGACCAAAACTCATTCTTTTACACTTTAAATTTTTTCTATTCTTTCAAAAATTAAAAATTTTAGTTTCTTAGATTATTCTTGGCTATTACAATTACGAGATGTTACACTAACCCCTTAACACTATAAATATACCATTTCGTTCATTTTAATCACAAATTCACAAACTATTTTGTTACCATCTTTAAAAATCTCTCAATTTTTAATCTCTCATAAATTCATAATTATTATTTTGTGATATTGACTTAGAGTTTGGATTTCGAAGATTTATTTGAAGTAAATCGGAAGCTTCAATTGTCATCTCACAATTCCGGCTTTAGTTATACGTCTACTTTTACGTAGACGTTCGGTACATTTGTTTCAACTTTATTTTTTATTTGTTTATCAATTAAGTTATTTTATTTTTTTTGTTATATTATCTTGCTTGTTTTTCATGATATTTAATTATTTTAAACTTGAACATGAATTAGGAAATAAATAGTGGTAAAAGATCTATGTTGGAAAAAAAATAACATGGAAGGAGGAAGTAGTTCTAGTTTGAAAAATTTACCACCTAGATTTAGAGTTAATACTAATGATTATACTCATGTTGATGAAACTTTTTTTATGTCACGAGGACCTATTGAGTTTAATTCCGAAAATGAAGTAAATTATGAGACTTTAAATAGATCTTTTACTAATTTTTAGGAAGAATTAGATGAGGAAGATGAAGAGACCCTACCCTTATAAAAAAAAGTTTAGGGGGGGGTAATAAGACCTTAAAATAGTTATGCTGTGTCTCTGAAATTTCGATCATAGTTTAGGGGAGTACTTGTGTATTTTCCCTTTTGTTTTTAAAAAAAACTTAGGGGGGTAATAGAGTTCCCGCAAAGTATAAGTGTGTAATCGAGAATTCGATAATAGGTTAGGCAGAAATTTGTCTATTTTCTCTACATATTTTGATGAATAATTTGTGAGCAACTTGAAGAAAGAGAATACGAAAACGTGAAAAGGGAGTAGAAACGTGATATGCGAAGAAGGAAGGTTAATGGGTATTGGTAACTGATTGGTTTAGAATTTAGTCAAATATAGAACTGTTTTTGTAAATAAAATTAATTTTAAATACTAAAATCTTAATACATAATATTTTTTAAAATATTGTCATTCTGACATTTTAAATAATATTTTAAAGTGAAGTTATTTTGACTAAATATGTTAGATCTTATGAATTAATTGCTAATTTTTTCTAAAAAAATATATTCCTAAACGGTTCAAATATAGGGTGGTAGAGGTGTTCAATAGGTACTATGTCTAGTTGATGTGTCTAAAGGAATAATGATAACAACTTTAAGGGGTCACATGACTTAATTAGCACAGGCATATGCAGAAGGGGGTTATCGGGTTCATATGAACTCATCCCTCCTGGAGTCAAATATAATAGTTTTATACTTTTTATTTTTTTCGTTAGAAACAGATGTGTGAACCCACACACACAATATCATATAAAGTGACGATGATTGAGTGCACCTCCCACACTTTTGGATTATTTTTACCCATTGTTTCATAATCTACTGTAATTTATATATTTATTAAAATGTCCTTAATTATTATAAATACTAAATTTATTAATAATTACTCCTCCATCCGTTTAAAAAAGAATGACCATATTTCCTTTTTAGTTTGTTTAAAATAGAATGACCCCTATTCTTTTTTGACAACACTTTAATTTTAACTTTCTACGTGGCATTATTAAGACCACAAGATTAAAGGATATTTTGGTACATTTTGACATAACTTTAATTTAGAACCACAAGATTTAAAAGACTTTTTTCTTTTCTTGAACTCCGTTTCAAGTCAAACTAGGTCATCCTTTTTTAAACGGAGAAAGTAATAAAATAACAATACTACCATGCATAGTTTGTTTTTATGTTATATGAAAATAACATAGAATTATATAATCAGTTATAACTATATTATCAAACATTATTATTACGTTTGTATCTAAATTAATTTAAATATTTAATTCTAAAAATTATCACATATTGCATGTAGTAAGAAACTTTGAAAAATGATGAAAAGGTAAAAGATAATGTTTTGTATGAACTAACTAATTAGTATATTTATTCATTCATCAATTGGTAACTCTAAATCTTTAGCTATAAATTTTAATTTATATTTTTATATTTGTATAATGCATATATCTGGAAAAAAAAATTCAGTAATATGTTGAACAGACAAAAGTATGAAAAAAAAAAGAACAAGTCTATGCTTTAAAAAAAAAGAAGAAGAGAAAAGACAAACAACCAAACATAGAAAGAATAAAACAACGCAGAGTTACTAGGAGGAGGTTTGATTGATATTAAATAATATGGTAAAGTATAAATAGTATTATGAAATATTAAATAAGAATATAATTGAAAAAAACAATTAATTACAATGAAAAGACATCAAATTGATCATTCCATAAAAATGATAATTTTCATTAAACAGGAACAACAAAATTTAATTATACAATAAATTTTAAGTATAAATCAAAACAAACATGGGTATGTATGAGAACAATAAAGTCCAGCACAATGGGTAGCAACGATCTAAACAGAGCGTTAATGATGTTAGAAATTTAAAATTTATATCTATCTTTTTTGTTCTTCTAAAGTTGGATATCACCCCGATTGTTGATAGAACTTTTGACATTTTAATTAATTAATCAGTTCAATTTTGGACTTATACTTTTAAAATTTTAATTTTTTCAATAATAAGAACCTAAATATCAAATCAATTAGATCCACTTTATCATAATAGTTCATCATTATCTTGAAATCCTGAATACACTTTTGTTTATTAGTAATATTTGCACTAATAGTGTCTGTATTAGTTTGCATTAATTATGCATAAGTTAATTTTTATGCATTTTCCAATTTGTTGCATTGAATATAGTATGCATTTCATTAGAAAACTGATTACAAAGATACCCATCACAATTATGATGAAAAAGATGTAAAAAAGGTTTTGAGGGAGAATTAGGCCTTTAACCATGCTAATACATGCAGTAAACCATTGCATTACTAACACCTGAAAATTCATGATACTAATAATACAAACCTTACAAAAGAGTATCAAACAAAGTAACAATTCGATGTAAAATTTAATGTTTTGAGCTCCAACTCACATCAACTTTTACACCAAATTTGGTGTGTTGGTGTAACACTATTTTCCACAACCACTTTTTGAATAATGCGGTATTATTTCATTGGAAAAAAAATCACAAGTACCCACCATACTATGATCGAAACTTCAGAGAAACACATTAACCAGACTAAGATCCTATTATCCCCATGAACTTATAAAATAAGTTCAGGGAGTAATAGGACTTTAATATAATATAAGTGTGTATTTGGGATTTCGGGCATAAGTTGAGGGGGTACTTGTGCATTTTTCCTCATTATACAAATTTTTGATTGAACATTATATAAATTGTATGTTTTAATTAAATCTCTTGTATATTTAATTATTTCATGTAATATTTTTATAATATTATTTTTAGATATAAAATTTATCTTTTTATAAATAATTTTTTCTATATATGTTTTTAAAAAAAAAATAAATTTATGTTAGTTCTACTATAAAATATAATCGGATATAACTACAACTGACATTCACAAAAATCATCAATTTTTACCTCGATATAAAAAAACAAAGGACAAAGAAGCTTATTTCTACGTTAATGCATTAATAAAGCACCGTAGTGATCTTGAAAGTTTAATATTCACGTAGAATTTAAAATATTTTTTTAATTGTGTAATATTTATTTAATTCTATTTCATTAATGATTTGACTTTTATTTATGTATAATGTATAATATTTGCAAGCACTTCATATTATTTAAAAGATCATAATATAAATAATTTTATATTAAGCGATTATAAAAGGAAATAATATAAATTATATATGGTGAATATTTTAAAAAGAATTTATTTTATGAAATAAGAAAATATAATTTTTTTTGAATAATAATCCTTTTTTACTCAATAAATTAAAGTTTATTACATAAAAAATAACGTATTTGGGTTGGAATGCCCTAAAGAAATACTCTCTCGTTTTATAAAGAATGACTTAGTTTGATGTGATACGAAGTTTAAGAGTATAAAAAAAACTTTTGAATCTTATGATCTTAAATTAAAATTATGTTAAATGTATAAAATTGTTCTTTGATCTTGTAGCCTTAAATATGTCACATAACAAGCTATTACCAAAAAAAAAGATTATTTTTTTTAAAAATATATTTTAAAAAAGAGATCATTTTCTTTAAAACGGAACGAATACTATTACTCCTATTGAAAATTGAAAAGGGCGGAAAACCAAAGCTAAAATTTCCAATCTCGCGTTCGATTTACGCCCCCTTAAAATTTCGGCCTTATAACCTCAAAAATTGTCTGGGTTCTTTTATTTTTCCGCCATCGCCGCTCTTCCACCTCCATTCAAATTCCTCACCGCAACAAACCCTTAACACCCTTTTCGTATTTTTCACTAGTAACAATGAGGAAAGGAACAAAGCGAAAGGCTAACGAAGTAGTAGGAAAAGGCAAGGCGAAAGTGGAGGACGAAGCGCCAGCCGCAGCCACCACCTCAGTAGAAGAAGGGGCTAACAAGAATGAGCTTGGAGAAACCCAATTAGCTGCTGAGAAAAACGAATCTAAGAAAAACGAACCCAAGAAAAAGAAAAACGACAAAGTTGTTGTTAAGCGTCAAGCTAAACGAGCTAGGATTGTTAAGCCTGAGCCTGAGCCTGAGTACTTCCCTGATAAGCGTAGTTTGGTAATGAAAGCTGCTGCCTTTTTTCATTTTCCATTTTTTGAATTTTTTTTGATCACGTCGAGTAAGTACTAAATCGAATCTTAAAAATTCTTAGCGGGGATTTATATAGCTGAAACCTATCTAGTTTGATATTAGGCTGGTTGATTAATTGGTACTTAATTGATTGTTATTGATGTGGGGTTCTGCTCAAGTATTTGGTTTGCTGTCTTTTGGTCTGCTTTGTTATTAGATAATGCTGGTTACGTTGGGTTCTTTGAAGTGATAGTTACTCTGTTTATGGTTTGCTACTCTGATAGTTGTTATTGCTAGCTAGGTTTTGGGCTTAAGTAATTTTGGGGTATTTTGTGAAATTTTGATGTTCCTCAAACCTCACTTGTGGGATATCGCCGGGTATGTTGTTGTTTGTGAAAACTTGATGTTCCCTTTAATAATGTAGGGTAGGTATGATTCTTTCAACTGCTAAGTGGTTGTGTTTAAGCTTGAATAATATGATTTGATATTTTGATGATTGTTAATGCTAACTTGGAGTTCTTTCTCAAGAATATGTTTTTGTGTTTTCACAAAAAAAGGTATATGCTTTAGTTATTAGAGCTATTTTCTTTGTGTTGGGGTTTTGCTGATTCCTGGCAATGGCGGATGATGTGATTAGCTAACTTATGGCCTTTGCTTTGGATTTACATATGCAGTTGTTAGCATTGAGTTAAAGTCAATGTTTGGATTGTTTTTGAGTGTTCTAGCTCATATTTTGATCAATGCTGTCAATGGCACGCTTAAGCCTGAAGCGAGGCGTAAAACAAACTGAGTGCTCTGTCTTGCTTCATGAGTGCTTCAATTTTGTCATCAAAGTTCTAAGGCATATAGTTCCTTGCCCATAAGCTTAATTCTAAAGTGACAACTTAAAACAATTGATACTATCATGTATTTGTTAATCACGCTAATAATTGTTAGTCTTGAACTACACATTCATATCTGGCTTTTCCTCCATTTGGACCTTTCTTCAATTAAGCCCATGCTTTATTTGTGCTCTGCACTTAAAAGCCCCAATGGACCTTTGAGCTTTTTTGTGCTTTTTGTCTTAATATGTTTGGAAGTTACTCGTTGTAGGGGTTGGCGAAGGGATGTGATTTGTACTTTATATGTTTGATTTCTTTAAACTTACGACAAACCATTGGGTGGCACATCTATTTTTTAGTTACCCAAATAAATAAAAATGACATCAGTGCTTTAGTTTGTACCATTTTCATTTCTCAAGTCCTATGAAATAATTTATAAGTCGAGAAATTATTCAAGCTGCTATATTTTGGAGTCCAGTCATGGAGATTGAGCCCAGAAACATCACAGGACTCTACTGTGTTTATCATCATAGTTGTACTTGTACCTGGTTGAACTTTTATTGTAGAAATTTGCAATTTCCTACTTGTTCTTTTAGACAATAATCCTTTGCTCTTCTCCTTTACTCTTCCAATTGGTATGTTTTGCAGGAAGATCTGTGGCAAGAGGTTTTTCCTGTTGGCACAGAGGTTACAATTTGATCACTTTCTTTTTATTTATATTTTGATATAGTGGCTTTCTGTTTATTCATTGGCATAACATCCTGGTTTATGCTTTTTATTTCATTGCATATAATTTCTGAAATTTGATTGTATTCTTTTTCTTGTTGCCAGTGGGATCAGATTGACATGGTTTATCAATACAAATGGAATTTCTCAAATCTTGAAGTGAGTTGATTATTTGCCTTCTGTTTTAGTAAATAAAGTATTCTAACAACAAAAAGACAAGATAACTCACAAGTCTTGTTGGCTTATGACAGGATGCATTTGAAGAAGGTGGAGAATTGCATGGACAGAAAGTCTATCTTTTTGGTTGTACAGAACGTAAGTGGTAGCTGGAGCTTGTTGTCTTATTCTACAGACATATTCATGTTCTATGCTCCAAGTAGCTTGAGTCTCCCTTTTTGGTTGTACAGAACGTAAGTGGTTGCTGGAGCTTGTTGTCTTATTCCACAGACATTCATGTTCTATGCTCCAAGTAGCTTGACTTGTGGCTGATCTTTGAAACAGTATTGCTTCTACACTGTGGTTCAGATTTCAGTTTAGTGTTTGATCTTTCTATACAATTTTATATCGAGATCATTGACCCCTTAAGTTGATCTATTCTCTTTTTTTTCCATCAATGTTTTAGTGAATAGTCACATTTAACCACTTCTCATGTTCAAATTTCTCTTTATTCTGATCTTGCTATGCAATTTCATCTGGGGATCATTGACCCCTTAAGCTGATTCATTCCTTTCTTTTTCATGTTGATTTCTTATGAATAATTATGTTCTGACCTTTTTTATTGTTCAATTTTCTATTTGCTCTAATCTTGCTGAACAATTTCTTTATGTCATTGACCCCTTCATTTGATCTGATTACCTTCTTTTTCTTGTCAATTTTGTGTTAAGATATGTGATAGCATTCATAATTCTTTCTGTTTCATGTAACCTTGAATTTTTTTTTGTTTGTATAGGTGATCATATTTTTTCAACTTAAGCTGTTTTTCGTGTGACCAATATCCCATTATATCTTCAAATGATTTGCTTCATGTAGAACTGTTCTCTTGTGTTTGCAGCACAATTGCTTTTTTTCCAGGGACAATCAAAAGTCACGTGTATACCTGTTGTGGTTGCTGTAAGTCTAATATCCTATATAGAAGTATTTACAACTGTTAACCTTATTCCTTTCACTTCTATTTATTTACTCTTCACTGCTCATAAAGAAGGCTGCATTTTTTCAGTTTGTCCTTTTGACCTCTAGTTTGTTGGCAAAGTTTAAATCTGCTCCACCCTCTGAATGTAGAGCTTGCTTTTGAGTCCATTTGATTGCTGTTAGTGTCCTTAAGAGGTTTGCAAATGTGAACAGTGTTGTATACCTGAGTAAGGAAATTTCTCAGACTGAGCCTTATGAAAGAGTTACAAAATGGAGTTCCCCCCTCCCCCCAGAGAGAGGGAGGGGGGAGTAAGGAGTAGAGAACATGCCAGTGACTTAAGTACACTTATAGTGGTTTCTAGTGTATTAAGATGTCCTTATTATGGTTTTAGTTTTTATGCTTTTCGGAGAAGTACAGTAATTTCAGAACTTGACTTTTTTTTACCTCATATACAGGCCAAGTACTTGTTCATTAAAAATACATTATATAATCTCCTCTTTCTTTGTTAATTTTTTTCTTCCTTCTGAACAGGTTGTATCTCCTTTTCCACCTTCTGATAAGATTGGAATTAACTCTGTACAAAGGGAAGCTGAAGAGATACTGCCAATGAAACAGATGAAAATGGACTGGGTTCCATACATTCCTTTGGAAAAACGGTATTGTTGCTTTCCCTCACCCCTCGTTTGACTTTTTCATTCTCATTGTCTCTTGTAGGTGTTATTATATGCATTTCTATTCCTTTAGAACAATAGTATTCCTGCCCTAAGTTGGGCCTTCTTTTCCTTGTTTTGCCTCTTGTATTTTATGTCAGTGGTTTATATCTTGGTTCTGACTGTTCCAACAGGGAATCTCAAGTTGAAAGACTCAAATCCCAAATTTTTATTCTGAGGTGTACTCAGAGAAGGTCTGCTTCTTTACCTCCTGCATTCTGTTTGATGGGTTGGCTGGTTTTATTTGGTGTGTCAGATACCACAAAGAATAATCGTTTTGTTAAGGCACTCAATTTTGCGTATTAAAGAGGCAATAGGAGGAGCCAGGGAGATGAAAACCTTCCGTGATTAATATCTCTCGATATGCTTATTTCAGGGCTGGTTTAAAACACTTGAAGTTGGAGCGAATTAAGAAGTTTGAGTATTGCTTACCTTGTAAGTAAAAAAACTCCAGTAACTCTGGAGATTTAACCCTTTATTTATTTTACCCTTGTGTCCATCATAAACTTGGGTTTAGTTTTCCTTTTATGCTGCTTTAGTTTCTTAAGTTAGTTGATTCTGTTCTAGTATCATGCTAACTGAAGGGGTATATTGTTCTTTCAGAATAGAAGTTTGGAAACTGCTATGCTTATACTTGTTTGGTCACTTCTCTGGAATGGATTAAGATAGATCTCTAGCTGTTTTGAGAAGTTACTATCTAAAATTTGGAAAAATTGCAATTTTAAAGTTAAATCATCTGTATGCAAGCACTGAATGGAATTTTGTTCTCTCTTTCCTAAACAGATAAATATTTGGTTATCAACATTTTTTTTGTCTGATTTGCTGATAGTTTTTTCAGTTTTACATGAATAATTGATCAGTTATCTAACCCAATTATTAATTATTAAGAATATGTTTCTTATAATTGTCAAATATTATTTAATTGAAGATAAATCATGTTAGACTTTATACATGGGTTTTAACCAAGTTTAAGAATGTGATCTCATATTTTTGTAAGTTAGTTGAATTTAGCTTTGATGTTTCAGTTCCATACATTTCTCTCTGCTGTTTCTATTGTTGTTTTGCACTTATAAAGTTAGAGGATAGCCTGGCATCTTCGGTGTACATCTTTTGATAGTTGTAGGTGTCTTTGATAGGTTTCATTTCTAGTAGAAATCTCCATGACATTTATTTTCTTGGCAGATTTCTATCACCCATTTGCAGAAGATGAAATTGAACAGAGCACCACTGTGCAGATTTTGTTCCCATCAGAACCGCCTGTAAGCTTTCAAATACTAGTAGACCAATACAGTGGCTACTCCACTATGGTATTGCCGTAGAAGGGATTGCTTGGGGATGATGTCTTGGAATGAAATAGATATTAGATGGGTCTAACATGAGCAGTTTTGTGTACACTAGATCCTTCAGTGGTTGTATGAAAAGTAATACAGATATATGTGCATGATCTTCACAATTTTATGAAAGTTTTGACTTCTTTTGTTTCAGGTGTTTTGTGAGTTTGATTGGGAATTTGATGAGCCAGAGGTATACTTAGCCCTTCTCTTTTTCTTCCCTGCCATCTCTCTACTTTTGGGTGCCGCCGTCTTACCTAATGAAAATTAATAGGCTGTTGGGATACCCTGTAAACTGGTTCCTATGTCTGTCGTCATATGTTGAAGCTGTTAAAGACATTCAATCGCTTTCTATAACTTCTCTATAAAGGGCATTTTAGACCTAAAAAAAGGTTGGTGCCATTTTGTCTTATAGGTGGAAGGAGGGCACCTTTGAATCATTTATGATAATGTGTGAAAAAGCAGAACAGTCGGTTTAAAGTAAAGGACTACGCTGCATCAAGTTTGAAATAAATGAATTGTAAAATTAATTTATAAGTTGTTGGTGTGAGTTCCATTTAAGGAGGAGAGAGGCTACACTATCTACAAATCAGTTTTAGTTTATACCAAGTTGAATTGATTCAGTGAGATAAAATTTTCATTTTACTAAAAAGGTAAAGTTTCCAGTATGAAGCAAAGAGGTGGATTGGCATTGGCATTACCTCTTGTTCAAGTCATGCAAGTCTTTTGCCAGTTTGAAGTCGATGCCAGTATTGTATATGCTTCTGTATTTTCAAGTCATTCTACCATCTATTAACTTGAGTGATGAAATTTGTAGGAAATGGCAGACAAATTTATCGAGTCAGAGGAGTTGCCGGCAGATAAAAAAGATGAATTTGTGGTAATATTTCCTCGTGTGATATCAAAGGACAGGTCTCATTTTTATCAATTAACTATTTACCTTAATAAGACATTTATAAAACTTGCGTATATTCCCTCTGTAATTTTAGGAATATGTGAAGCAGCAGGTTAAGGAAGGAAAGAGGAGCAACCGAGAGGTATATTTTGAGAAATTTGTTGCAATCCTATTTTCCTTCTGCATGGCAAAACTGGTGGTTTGCAGTCCCGTTATCTTTTTTCATATTATACTTGATTTGCCTATGCCCATGATTGTAATTTTTCTATGGTTTAGGCGAGAGAAGCCAGGAAAAAGGCTATACAGGAGATGAGTGAAGAAGCGAAGGCTGCATTTCAGAGTATGAAGTTCTACAAATATTATCCTGTGACCTCACCTGATGCTCCTGATGTATCTCAGGTCAAGGTGAGTATTCTGTTTGTATTCTTAAGTATCTTATAAATAGGTCTACGCATGAGATTTCATGTTTAAGACTTAATATATACTACTATTAACTCTTCCTTTTTCTTTGCAGTCTCCATTCATAAACAGATACTACGGGAAGGCTCACAAAATTTTCTGAATGATGATGCATCAGAGAGCATATTCAGAATGGGAAAATAAGTAAGTATGATCTGAAAGCATGTACTTGTGGTAGCCTACTTCAGAGCTGAATGATAGAATTAGCATTTGTTTTGCGGCAACCATTAGGGTTATAAAAGTATTTGAGGATGTAGAAAGAGGTGAAATGTATTTTTTCCTCAATCCCTGTAGCTAGAGTGTTCAGTCAAAAATTTTGGCAATGGATTCCGTCTTCATTACCTGTGAAATCTCGTTTTATCTTGGATGCAAATGTAATCCTTTTTGTATCTTTAATCATCATGCACCTACAGACTTTATGAGCTGCAGTCAGCACTTTGTTATTAGTTCGACTTGATCAGATGAACTATGATTACTTTTGCTTCATATAATCTTGTATCCCCATTCAAGGTGTTGTTTTTCTTCTGATGTTATTTTTAAAAAATGAGCAGGGATGAACTCTGCAAGCATACAACTGCTTGCTTCGTTTTGGGATTAATATTTACATCTTTATATGGGGGGATCAATACATTGGTGATCAAGATAGCAAAGTTTATATAAAAAATTATTTAACTGAGCACCATTTATTATCATATTTTTCTTATTTTTTCTATCATTTTAAAAATATTATAAATTCCTTCTTTTCCTCCCATCATCTCCTTTTCTCGATGCACTAATTTAAAATCTCATACCCATGATATTCCTTCCTTTTTTTTCCCATGCCACCAATCTCTCCATAATTACATCAGTTACATATTTTAATGTATCTCCTTTATTTTGAATCTTAAATTAGTTTTTGTTAGTGTTATCATTAATTTGATACATCACTGCTACAAAAACCTGTGTTATGCATTGTATCTTGTTGATATTTAAGGTATTGACATATAACTAATGTTGTTGAATCTTTGATTAGTGTTTATCATGTTCATTGTAAATATACCTGATATATAAACTTTGGAACAATATATGTATAATTTTTTTAAAAATTTAAATTATAGTATTTCTCTAACAAAATAAGATACATAAACAATAATGTATCAATCTCAAACCTAAGATTTCATGGACAACACTTTCTTATTTAATGTATCTATTAGAAATACAATACTTCTTAATTTAAATCGAAAGGATCTGCATGATTTATTTTTTCAAAATTTTCGATAATTTTGAATCAAAAAAGGATCTCCCATGAATTAGGAAAATAATTTTGAAATTCAAAATTTTCAACAATTTTGAATTGAAAGGGTATTCAATGAACTGGGAGAAGAATTTTGAAACTCAATGTTTTCGACAATTTTTAATCAAAATCGAATAGGATACTCGATTAACTTGAAGATTCACAAAAGAAATCGTTTGTCCAACAACAATTTCATCACTTTTGTATCCTTCATAACTCACCTCGCTTATTCAAAATTCTCGAGAAAATTTTTTATGAAACAAATGTACAATGAACAAGAAGAAATTTAATTATTAGATATTTAGGTTAGTTACACCAGATGATTGAATTTTTGGAATGGAGTAGCCCAATTTATGGATCTTAATTTGATTTCAATTTTTTGCCCTTGCCATGAGGTATTTTCTACCTTTCAGGTTAAAAAATTTAAAATCAGAACAGTACAGATTCTAAATATAAAACAAATCCTGAAAAAACAGATAACATAAATCATAGAGAAGTGGTATTTCAGTTAATCAACACAATCTACAGCTTATAACTCAATTCAACTGAATAAAAAGTACTCCTACCTCAATACAAGATTATTTGTATCCTCCTGCAATTTGTTTACAACACTCAAAAGCTGCTTCCCCCAATTATATTAACCAAAAAGTAAGTAAACACAGAGCCTCATTTTGCTGTAATGATGCACATAATTTAGACTAACCCTGGAGTACTAATTAATGATACAACGCTACAGGCACAGATCAAAACAGTGTTTCATCCATAACCCGGAAATCTTCATCTAGCCCCTAATGATACATCATAATTTACATGTAAACAGAAACATAATCATCCTTAAGCTCGATACTTCATACTCGTCTTCTACTAGTCAAAATTCCTTGACAGGTCTTCATCAAAACAGTATTTCATCCGATAATGCTATAAGCTTGCACTCTACTACTCAAAATTCAACTGGAGTAATAAAAGCCTCCAGGACAAGTGAAGAGAAGTGATCTTTCCATTCACCGGGGCCAGCAAAAGGCATCAGACCACATAGCAAGGGGAGAATAAGAAGTACTGTGGTATAAAACATAGATCTCCTAATCCAGTATGGAAATCTTCGATCGCTCATGCTCTTTTCTGACACTGTGACAGGACCATTAAGGATCAGGAACAAAGTCGAGATACAGACATTCGAAAAGAAATGTAGCAAGCATAAAGTCTCCCAATAAATTAACCAACGATATCCACTGCCTCCCAAGGTGTCAATACAAAACTTCCCTGCGAAACCACAGCCAACTCCCAACAGCAACAGAATGAAAGTAACTGGCATTGTCTGATTTGAAGTTGCAGAGCGCTGGAGAAGTAGATAGGCTATAGACAATATCAGGAAAGCACCAAATAGCATGCGACTGAGAACTTGAACCTGACACCGTAAGAGTTGCAGTCCTGAATTGAATGACGACATTGATTGGGGCATCCACCAAGACTTGTGTTCCTGGAACATAAAATATGTCCATTTCATTACCATGGCCAATACATGCTTTACACTGGTTAAACATATGAACAGACAGAGACGGCCAACTAACTAATGTCATCCCTGGGATCCATGCTTTAAGAAAGAACACAGAGAGCAGAGCATCTACAACAACTAACATTGACTTCTTTGGACAACGAGTCTCCTGATACAGTTCCTTCTATTTTGTTCCACCGCTTAATAGGTGAATTTGCTAAAACAAAAACAAAGTGAAAGAAAGAGAATACAAATCATTACCCATTTTGGATTAAAAAAAGCAACCATTTTTTGTTCAGCAATGTATGCCCCTTGGCAAATCATATAGCTGCCATATATAATTATTGTGCAATAAATACACCAAATAAATCTCTTATTAATATTTATAGAGTTAGCATTACTATAACCATCATCCCTCTTTTCCACCCTTCCACCAACTTGAAATTGGGCTTCTTCATTGAAGAATTTTCTGCATGAATGTACCCAATACTTCCACTTTTACTTGGACTTGAATACCAATATAAACGAGGAACTCAAATGAGCTTGATACATAAATTAAAATAATGCATGGTGTGTCTGTTCCAGTCAAGCCATAAGAGTAAACAGAGTTTCTGTAGCAAGGGGAAAAGAGTTAATATTCTTTCTTTTTGCTGATTTTCTACCATATATTGACTCTAAAGAAACCATACGCACAGGAAGATGAGGCAACTGGCTTGAGTTGAACTATCTAGAGCTATTGAAAAAAGATTTAAACAAAATCAACAAAATTCAGAATTGGACATTCCTTACCATGGAAGGGGTGCATGATGCTGTAGCTTCGGTAATTCTTTTGTGAGAGAAAACATAAGTTCCATATCCAAGACACGCCAGCATGATGAATAAACCAGCAACAAGGCAGTCTATACAGGTTTTAAGTAGCTCAGCATGTTTTGAGTCTTCTACTTGATTTTTGAACTTTTCAGTTTTGAAGGACGTTTTAGAGAAACCAAATGATAGTTTGACCCTCTCCAAAAGGTTAGCATCAGAACTGAGAGCCAGCTGCCTTTCTTTAAGTTGCAACTTCCTCATTGTAAGACCAATCTCAAATGTCTTAAGGTCATTCGACCTAGCTTGTTCTGTGAGAGATCTTTCCAAAGTCCTATGCACAGATTGGCTAATCCCTGTATTGGATAAAATCATGCTTGAAGAAGCAGAAGCCAACTGTTGCCTTACTTGCCTATCATAGCGGGTAAGCTGCCGACCTATTGATTCAAAACATGTCCCGTCACTTCTCTCTTCTTGATTGCTCAGTTCGTTATCTGAGCTATTCTGCTGAAATGACTCCGATTGGAACTCACTGAAGTCAGGATCACATGTAACATTTTCTACTCTGTTAGAAATAAAAGGCACAGATCTTTCTGAGACAGAAGTCCTTGCTGCACAATTATGTTGCTGTACTCCACTGTTCATTGAGGATTCACTGATCAATCGGAGAGTCATCAAGGTACTATGAAACGATTTCTCAAAGTTCCTCACGAAAGACTCAAACTGATCACCGAATACCTGTTTCCAGAATAAGACAAAAGTACAGTAGAAAGTCAACTGCTTTAATATTGTCTCTATGTAATAAACTGACTGTATTAGTGACAAACCACAACTTAACAGAAAGAAGATGGATTATTCTTACATTGGCTAAAGACTCTCGGACAGCCAAAGTACAAATCTGTGTGAAAAATGACAATAAAACCATGAGATCTGCACATCTGATTCCGCAAGGAATTACAAAATGTTCCAAATATGTCCATGAAGGCAGGTTATAGTTGTAATCTAAAATTCAATCATGCAAGGATGTATGCTTAGATAAAGGAGATTAAACACCCTTAAAGTCTCTTTTCATATATAGCAATATGGTTCTACAAAGTGCAGATCATCATTAAGTCCTTGATCACTTCACTTTGTCCAATAAAGAATCTCATACCTCTTCCAATTCAAAAAGAAAATTCATGTTTCAAAAAAAGTATCCCGTACCTCTGAGAGGTGATCCACAGATATCTTTTCTCCGGCTGCATCTTTTCTTTCCAAAACCTAAACAAAGCAACATAAACTACATTAACAGCCTACACTTCATATATCCTTAAATAAATAAGAAACACGGTAACAACTCATGAGCGACTATCAACATATAAAGTTCCCAAGATAAGGAGGCTGCAACTTTGTTGCAAAAGAAAAGATGCAGTATCAAACAAGACAAAACTCATCCTTCTTTTAGACTGAGAAATCCGTTTGGGGCCAACTGTTATGACCAATCGCAAGCTTCATAAGTTGGAGATAATAGGTCCCCTCTATCCATCTCCATTTATATACCAGGCTTAGTTCGCATTGCACAGGGCTCAAACATGTGACCTAAGTCACAAGTCCCTAAAGCTTTGCCATTTGAATTGAGCCCCAGGGGCAAGCCAACACTCATCTTTAGAATGTGAATCACCCCTTATATTTGAATCAAGCGATGATCAGAATAAGCAAGGTTTATAGGGATTTAGTAGTAAAAGGCAGCTTATATCTGTGCCAAGTTAAATGCCAATATGTGCCATCAAGTATCAACAAAGAGCATCTTCTTGATGCCTCGGATGAAAGTTTTCTTGCATCATCAAATAAAAAGAGCATCACATACTCGAGGCGTTGTCAATTTTTTTTTTTGAAGAGAATAATATTCTAGCTATCCACTTAATTTTGATGACGATCTAATAGTACTTGAACATGCAAAATATATTGGAGTAACCCGAGCAAAATTGTTAATGTCTAGGCAGAATGCATCTCCCGCTTCATCTACAATTACTAACAAATCATTTCTTCTTGGCATCTCCTGCCTTTGTCTTCTTAACACCATCAACTTTCTTGGCTCTGTTCTTCCTCTCTATTTGCTTCCTGGACTTCTCCACCTTAGTGTCCAATCCATTCCTGATCAGCCTGTACTTCATCTCATTTTTCTCTGCATTCTCAACAGTCATAGATCAAATCAAAGCCAGAAGATTTGCCTCTTCGAAAGTGGGTTCTGAACTTCACATAGATGGCATTTAAATCTTTCACTTCATACATCCTTGCCAATTTTCTTTCAAATCAGCGTTAAAAACATTGACTCTTCCAGGATGTAAGACATCAATAATGAATTGTTTCCTTGCAAATAATCTATTGGTCATGAACTTCCTAGTTCTAATAGTCACTATCTTGTCTGCCATTTTTGTCTTTTGTCACTCTGGTTTTGCTACTCCAACAACTCTCTCTCTCCCACTGTGTGTCGCCTTCTGTTCTGAGTTCTGTTGTTTGTTATAATTATTAAAACTGTAAAGCACATACCATGAAACTTAGCAAGATAGTCGATGATGTCATGATCACAAGCAAAACGAAAGGAGCTGAAACATTGTTGACAAATCAAGAGAAATAGCAATATAAACAACCACTGACGAAAGAGAGATGTTTCTAAAGATGAGTGAATAGATTTAAAATGACGCTGAACATGAGTTACCCATAATATTCAACCATCATTCCACTGAAACATTAAACAGTTCCTAGACCTAACACAATTGATCAGACATCCTACGCACAGCTGTCATATCATTACAGTGGGACAAGTCAGATGGAGACACATGGTAACAGAACTGCAGAAGGAGCTAATTTCCAGAATGGTGGCATAACGGGAAAAGCTACATTTGGTGAGCTCATGCTCGGAAAATTCCACGAGTTACTAAAATAAAAAATTTGATGAAGGTGGTGTATGGTTTCAGCTTATGACAAAGCGTGTCCTGAGTTTATTCCTTAAGAAAGAAATTCTTTGAGGTAGTTTTAAAAGAAACAAATGGATTAACTTTTTTGGGAAAAGGTGCCAAATAAATAGAATGGATATCATAGGAACAAGATAAAAGATAAGAGCACAATGGGTATGACATTGCTTATGATACAAAAAAGTGCAGAGCAAAAAAAAATGATGTGACCATCATAGATCTTACCATCATCGTGCATCACGAGAGCATTCCCATCCAAAAATCAGATAAAACTGATACTTTTGAGCAAAATGAGTAATAATCAACCTAGTGACACTATTTAGTGCTAGGACAGATACTGCAAAGCAGTGTTACCAAAGACGAAACTTATAATTTAAATCTTGTCTTAGGTTTTTTTGTCATAATGACTATATCGATCTTAGTTGTCATAATGACTATATCTACAGTAAAAGATTTGGAACTAGCATACAAAAGGGAAAAGGGATTTGGAAGGTCACAGATTTTTCACGGGTTTTCCATCCAAAAATATTCCAACTGTCATGGCCCATTTGTGACTACAATTTACCAATTTCAAAAAAACAAGGGAAAACAAAGAATGAAGCAGAAATCAAGAGTCACTTCATAAAAGATGAAACTTGATATACTTATCTTACCCAAATAAATACTACATGCAAGTCAGTAGAGTAGAACTACCAACATCCACCTTAGTAATAAACTGAAGTTCCACACTGTTTGGGAGGCATGCTTTTTTTATAATCTAAATTGATTAAGATGCTAAAGACATCTTGCAGAATGCACAAACACTCGATAAGCGACTTTTCAGTTCTTCTCATCATAGCTTTGGTAGACCTCAATGATACCATCTTAGAAGTTGGAACTGAAAAAAAATATATTTTACTAGATGAAGAGAACAAGACTCGCAATCATAAGAATGAAGTATTAGGCTCCCAATTGAAAAGAAACTATGTCGTCCTAAGCAATATTCAAGTATCTTGTAAAATATTCATTTCACCCAATTATTAATATTTTGTTGCCTTCTTTTGAACCAAGAAAATAACATAAGTTCAACAGCAAGGGAATTTTGATTCAAAAAACTGTTGTGAAGCCTAGTTTATATCTGCTTCTGATATCTTACTACAAAAAAAGGTCATGGAAAGACAATTGGCTTGGAGAAGGGCTGCTTAAGGATCAAGTTCCAGTCTTATACAGGCTGGTGAGACTTTCTGGTATACTGCTGGCTGACTATTTTAGTATAGCAGGATGGAATTTCCAGTTTCAGGAGGGACTCAATGATTTTTGGGTTGGAAGATGTTGGGTTTTTTTTCTGAGTAGAATGCAATTTGTAGTGTTAGACATGCACAAAGATGATGATATGTTTTTGAAGGCAAGCAAAAATGGACATACTCTGTGAACTCCTTCTGCTGATTGCTTCAGGAAAGTTCTGCTGAAAATGTTGCTTCCTGGCCATGAATGATGATTTTAAAGTGGCTTGTTTCAGTTGTTAGCTCATGGGGCTTGTCTAACCCGCAAGAATTTGCAAAAAAGAGGGTATAGGCTTTGCAGCAACAGGTGTTACTTAATGTGAATATTCCATTGAATCTAGTGATCATCTTTTCCCATAGTGGAGTTTTACTTGGCAGATCTGGCCTATGTTCTTGATAATTTTTGGAGTTTATTGAGCAGCACCTCATAAATATAAAGTTTTTGATGATTTTGTAAGACATATTACACCGACAAATTTCAAAAGAGGATTTGGATGTGTATTCCTCTGTGCATTTCTTGGACTATATGGATTGAAAGAAACTATTCATAAAACATCTGTAAAAAAGAATTACCATTTCAGGGAACTAATACCAATGAAAAACTCAGTGCTTCTCAATAATTAAACACCTCTGTGATTCCCTTCAATTAAAAAACAATGAACTTTCTTTTTTGACAAGGCTACACTAAATCACATTTTCGGCCAGAAAATTTTTATGTTGCTTGGAATGCTACTGTCTTTATCCCAAACCAAACACTCAACAATAAGCCACTGCAACTTAATAGCACCATACACACCTCTCACTCTCAGCACTACTAATAACTTTTGAAAATTCAAACATTTCCACCCATGATTCCAAATCATCATCACCAAAAAGAGAGGCCAACAAGAAACACCAATAACCAATACAGCCTCTTTTCCAGCTTAATACCAACAACAATAACAAGATCACTTCTTTCTAATAAGAATTAATATCAAAATCACTTCTTTCAACACAAATAGCACATTTTTCCCAAAAAGACTGAAGCTTTTCCGCGTAACCAAACAATGTAAAAGAGATAGTATCAAATAATTTCCGGCCACAATTCCAAATTACAGTATGAGTAAGCAAAAGAACCCCATTAACAAAAAAACCCATCAAATATCCAATACCAAAGCTCAACAATGACCTAAAGGACTAATCTTGCATCCTCAAAAGGTTCAGAATTATATCTTCCCACCCCACCCCTTCGTCTTACAGTACCTAGGCCAGCCACCCTTTCCACAGGAGAAATACATAACAAAAAAAAAAAGTTACCATTTGCAATACTCAATAAAGTACATTTCCATACGCAAACTTTAAAAAAAATTAAACCTGAGCAAGAACAGCAGCAATAGACATGCCGAGAGGAAGTGCAAGTGCTTCAACATTGTCGCTTTTCTGTCTACCGGAGCTAATGATGACTCTAGGGTTCCGACGACCAGTGGAAACCCTAATACCCCTTTGAGTAGAAGGTGGAACCGACGTAGCAGAACAAGATGATGATGAATAAGAGGCAGCAGAAGAATGAGGGTCAAAAGGGTCCGTGACGCATGCTTTATTCTTCTTTTTCTTCTTCGTCTTCTTCTTCATAACGCCGGAATTTAAAGATTCCGGTAGAATTTCGGAAGCCATGGCGTCGGCGGTGGTCACCGGCGGCGGATCGACGGGTTGAGATAGAGGCGGGTGATCCATGGAATCTTGACTTTGGAATAAAATGAAGAGGTTTGGTTTATCATTAGAGTGTGGGGGTAAATTAAGTCAAATGATTTAATTCTGTAATTATCTCGATTTATAAGATTGTACTATTTTAACATATGCTATTAAAATTGGGAATTTAACATCTTTTTAAAAATAAAATACATATCATCTTGTTTTGTGTTGAAAATAAATATCAACTTAAAATTTAATCAAACATTTGTCTACCTGCCATCATTATCTCAAATATATAAATGCACCTAAATTGAATGTATTATAACCATATACAATGTTTAGGATAATATCATTATATTGTAGTTAATATATCAAAATCAGTCAAATTTTACCATGTTGATAATTCATCAAATGCCTAATAATTGTTTTTTTTAAAAATAATTTATGATTTATAAAGTGGATATTATAATTTCATCCCTAAAATTATATATATACTAATTATGCCAATGGCAAAAAGAAAACTAGATGATTATTGTACGATTGAAATGACCCAATTCTATTAATTCACAAATTCTAAACTATGATTAAATATAATAAAAAATATTAATGTTCATGAGAAATTCAAAACACATTGTTTAAATGTTTACTTTTAGAAAGAGAGCTATTTGATTAAGTTTTTAAGAGAAAGTAAGTAATATAGAAAAATTATAAGAGTTAGTTATTTGGAAGCTAAAATAAATAGTTTTTTTAAATAA